ATCGAGTATGATGTTGGCTGTAGGTTTTTCATATGTGGCCTTTATTATGTCGAGATATGATTCCTCTATTCCCCACATTGTGGAGTGTTTTTATCAGGAATGAGTGCTGGATTTTGTCAAATGCTTTTTCTACATCTATTGATATGATCATATGTTTTTTATCTTTCATTTTGTTTATGTGGTGTATCACATTTATTGATTTGTGAATATTGTACCAGCTTTGCATCCCTGGGATGAATCCCACTTGGTCATGGTGAATAATTTTTTTGGTGTATTGCTGGATTCGATTTGCTAATATTTTGTTAAGGATTTTCACATCTATGTTCATCAGGGACATTGGCCTGTAGTTTTCTTTCTTTGTAGTGTCTTTATCTGGTTTTGGAATTAGAATTATGTTGGCTTCATAAAACAAGTTTGGAAGTCTTCCTTCTTGTTGGATTTTTTGGAATAGTTTGAGGAGAATGGGTGTTAGATCTTCTTTGAATGTTCGGTAAAACTCCCCTGTGGTGCTGTCCGGGCCTGGGCTTTTGTTTGCCGGGAGTTGCTTGATTACATCTTCAATTTCCTTAATTGTTATTGGTCTGTTCAAGATACTTATCTCTTTCTAGTTCAGTTTTGGGAGACTGTGTGTTTCTAGAAATTTGTCCATTTTATTATTCAATTTATTGGCATATAATTGTTCATAATATTTTTTAATGATCCTTTGTATTTCTGTGATGTCAGTTGTCATTTCTCCTCCTTCGTTTCTGATTTTGTTTAGTTGGGTCCTCTCTCTTTGTTTTTTGGTGAGTAGCTAAGGGTCCATCAATCTTGTTTATCTTTTCAAAGAACCAGCTCTTTGTTTCATTGATCTTTTGAATTGTTTTTTTTTTTTTAATTTCTATGTTGTTTATTTCTGCTCTGTCCTTAACTATTTCTTTTTTTCTACTTGCTCTGGGTTTTTCTTTTTGTTTACTTTCTAGTTCTTTAAGTTGTGAGGTTAGATGGTCAATTAGAAATTTTTCTTGTTTCTTAAGGTAGGCCTGTAGTGCTATGAACTTCGTTCTCAGGACTTCTTTAGCTGCATCCCATAGATTTTGTGTTGTGGTGTGTTCATTTTCATTGGTTTCCAGGAAGTTTTTGATTTCTTCCTTAATCTCCTCAGTTACCCATTCATTGTTTAATAACATGCTATTTAGCCTCCATGTGTTTGAATGTTTTGCTGTTGATTGATTTGTAGTTTCATGCCAATGTGATCCGAGAACATGCTTGATATGATTTCAATCTCCTTGAACTGTGGAGACTTAGTTTGTGTCCTAACATGTGGTCTGTCTTTGAGAATTTCTCATGTGCACTTGAGAAGAGTGTGAATTCTGCAGTTTTGGGGTGTAATTCTCTGTAGATATCTATTAAATCCATTTGATCTAGTGCATCATTTAGAGACTCTGTTTTCTTGTTAATTTTTTGTGTAGAAGATCTATCCATTGATGTCAGCGGGGTGTTGAAGTCCCCTGCTATGATTGTATTACTATCGATTTCTCCTTTGAAGTCCTCCAGAAAGTTTTAAATGTATTTTGGTGCTCTTATGTTGGGAGCATATATGTTTACTAAGGTTATATCCTCCTGTTGGATAGATCCTTTCAATATTATGTAGTGGCCTTCTTTTTCTCTAGTTATGCCCTTCATTTGAAGTTTATTTGATCGGATATGAGTATTGCTACCCCAGCTTTTTTTTCCTTTTCGTTTGTTTGGAAGATTTTTTCCATCCCTTCGCTTTCAACCTATGTGAGTCTTTTGTTGTGAGGTGGGTCTCTTGTAAACAACACATATATGAGTCATGCTTTCTTATCCATTCAGCTACTCTGTATCTTTTGATCAGAGCATTTAATCCATTTACATTTAAGGTTATTATTGATATGTACTTATTTATTGCCATTTTTGTTTATTGTGGTTATTAAAAAGTCTGAGCTGGTGGAAGATCACATCCACAGCACAAGGCCAATGTATAGAAAAATGGCTTTATTGCATGTGCCTGGGTGCAGGTGGGCTGAGCAGAAAACGGGTCAGTCTCAAATTAGGATTGGGGTGTTGGTTACATACCCTACTTTTAGCTTCTGGCAGTTTCTGTTGACGTATTCTGCCTGGCCCATTATCCACTTCGCAGTAGGACTGGTCTGGTATCTTGTCCGGCATCTGCTGGTTATCTATTGCCTTGTGGATAATCCAGATAATCCTTATCCATACTCAACAGAAGGCTGATCAAAGGTCATGGAAGCAACACAATTTCCAGTTTCCACCTTTTGCAAACTTTTACCTTTGCCCTTTAAAACATTACTAACCCTTTCAGTTATATTTTTCTTCCTAATTCTTCTACTAATTACAGCAGTCCTTTTAACATTTCTTGCAGTACTGGTTTGGTGCTAATATATTCCCTTAGCCTTTTTTTTTTTTTTTGGTCTGGGAAGCTCTTTATTTCACCTTCTATTTTGAACGATAGCCTTGCTGGATAGTGTAATCTTGGGTTCAGATTCTTGTTTTTTCATTACCTTGATTACTTCATGCCATTCTTTTCTGGCCTGTAGTGTTTCTGTTGAGAAGTCAGCTGGTGGCCTTATGGAGGTTCCTTTGTGGGTAACCTGTTGCTTATCTCTTGCTGCCTTCAGTATTCTCTCTCTGTCTTTCATTTTTGGCATTTTAATTATTATGTGTCTTGGTGTGGGCCTCTTTGGATTCTTACTTGGGGCTCTCTGTGCTTCTTGGACTTGTATGCCTTTTCCCTTCACCAAGCTAGGGAAGTTTTCTGTCACTGTTTCTTCAAATATATCCTCTAACCCTTGCTCATTTTCTTCTTCTGGCACACCTATGATGTATATGTTGTTACGCTTCATGTTGTCCCATAGTTATCTTAAGCTGTCTTCCTGTTTTTTAATTGTTTTTTCTTTTTGGTTCTCTGATTGAGTGATTTTTTTCTACCCTGTCTTCTAATTCACTGATCCAGTCCTCGAGTTTCGTCTCCTCTGCTGGTTATTCCTTTCAATGTATTCTTTATTTTTTCTATGTCATTCTTCATTTCTAATTGGTTCATTTTCATTTTTTCTATATCTTTACTCATGCTATTGAGCTCTTTACTCATGCTATTGAGCTTCCTCATGATTATTGCTCTGAACTCTTCCTCTGATATCTTGTCTAATTCTTTGTCATTTATTTCTTCTTCTGCAGAATTATCTTGTTCTTTCATTTGGGTTTTGTTTCTTTGTTTCAGCATTTTGGCTGTCTCAGTGGGTTTTGGAGCATGCCAAATTTTCCCTGTGCGTGTTGGTGTTTTGCTGGTTGTGGCTCCCCTCTACTGGGCTTGGATGAGTGTGGGAGGACTCATGTTAAACACTACTGTCAACTCTTACTTTCCTGAGTAGATTTGCAAGTTAAGGAAAGGGTCAGTTATCCTCTAGTTATTTGCCTGGAGGCTATTAGTCTCAGTTGCTTGATGTGCCTCAGGTGGCTCTTGCTAGCTTATTCAATTGAGATGTTAATGAACCTCAATTTGAATTTCTCTCACCTGTCCTGGTGGCATTGAATTCCTGTGGGAAGGTCCCTTGCTTCTCCCAAGAGCTCTAGGAAGGGACTCTGTGAGTAAGATGGCCACTGTCCTATGTGGGAGTGACCCTGCACCAAACTTCCAGCATCTACCCCTCCCGCATGACCTGATGAGGGTTGGGGACGAATGCAACCGAGGTGTGTGCCCTTGACTGGAATTGAACCATGACTCATTGGTCTGCAGGCGACACTCTAAACACTGAGCAAAACTGGCCAGGGCCCTTTGTCCATTTTAAAATCTTTTTTTGTTGTTGTTGTTGTTGATCTATAGGAGTTCTTTTTCTTTTTTTTTCTTTATTGATTTTAGAGAGAGAAGAAGGGACAGAGAGATAGAAACATTGATGAGAGAGAACATCGATTGGCCGCCTCCTGCATGCCCCCACAATGGGGATTGGGCCCACAACTTGGGCATGTGCCCTGACTGGGAATCGAACCAGTGACCTCTTGGTGCATGGGTCGATGCTCAACCACTGAGCCACACTGGCCGGGCTTCTTTTTATATCTGGATATTGACTTCTTATCAGATACGGGATTTGCAGATACTTTCTTCCATTTGGTAGGTTGCTTTTTTTACTCTGTTGATGATTTCCTTTGATGCGTGAGAGTTTTCAAGTTTGATGTAATCTCATTTGTCTAGTTTTTGCTTTTGTTTCCTGGTAACAGAGTTTTACATAATGTAACATAATCATGGAAGTGACACCCTATCACCTTCAGCATATTCTGTTAATTGAAAGCAAGTCACAGGTCCTGCCCACACTCAAGCAGAGAGGATCACACAGAGGTGTAACCACCAGGAGACAGGATCATAGGGGCCACCTTGAAGTATGTCTGCATTTGAAGGGCAGTAAAAGCCTGCTTCTTATTCAACAAATATTTATTAAGGTCTGTTTCCTGCCAAGCATTGTGCTTGTAGAATGTAGAAAAGCAATGAATATGGCATAGTCCCTGCCCTCCAAGGACATATAGTTCAACATTACAGACCCTTACAGTTCTAGTTACGGTTGAAAAGGATTCAGCCTCCTGGAGAAAAAGGACAAAACAGTCAGAACTGAGGGGCAGATACACAGTTAGTCACCCATTCAGTATGATCTACCTTCTCCTGGCAGCCCTTTCTTTCTCCCCTTCTGAAGTCATGTCCAAAGGGAAGACTCAGCTCATGGATCAAGGCTAAAGACTCCTCATAAATATGTAGGAAATCTGCGAAATGCAACCAGCCATCCTTAGGTCTCCTGAAATATCACCTCTATGAATCTGAGTATGGAGGTTACTCAATAAGATCATAGGAAACAACGGCCTATTAGTGCACAAAGTAGAAGACACCCCCTCTTTTCTCTGTGGCCCCTGGGCATACACAATAGGTTTAAAAGTTCAAAATCCAGCTTCCTATTATTTGTACCATACATAAACTGGCGATAAAATGTTAACAGTGAATCCAGGAAAATAGAGGATACTTCAAAGAAGGAAACGGAGGGGAGTCAACTCCACCTGAGCAGGCTCTGTTGACCTGAACAACAAGGAAGAGTCCCATGTGCTAGCCCTGGTGTGAGCGGATGTTGGATATATTCTGCCAGAGAAAATAGAGATTATTACCTGAGAACTCATTCTGAAGATGGAGAATATGAAGTGAGTAATTTGTTATTGGGGGATGATGGAAGAGGGAGAAGGGTGCAAGAAGATCAAAAGGGGACCCAAGACCACACAATTGAGAGAACTGTAATACATTTTAAGGTCTCCTTAAAATATTATAGGAGGCTGCTAACAGGAGATAAAGGAGCAAGATATGCAACTAGCATTTCTTAGTGCATACTGTGAGTGGCATGCCTTGCTTGGCATTTTACAGATGTGATTTCAGGAGAAACATCTGTAACAAAAATAAAAAAATATATAAAAAATTGATTTCTGAGAGAGGGGTGGGGGGAGAGAGAAGGATTTGTTGTTCCACTTATTTATGCATTCATTGGTTGATATTTAAAAAGATTTTTTAATTTTTAATTTCTTTATTGATTTTTAGGGAGAGAGGGAGAGAAAGATAGAAACATCAATGGGAGAGAACGATTGGCGCCTCCTGCATGCCCCCCACTGGGGATTGGGCTCACAACTTGGGCATGTGTCCTGACTGGGAATCGAACCAGCGACCTCTTGGGGCATGGGTCGATGCTCAACCACTGAGCCACACTGGCTGGACCATTGGTTGGTTTCTTGTAAGTGCCCTTACTGGGGATTGAACCCGCAATATTGGCATATTGAAATGATGCTCCAACCAACTGAGCTACCCGGCCAGGGCTCATTTAGTCTTAATTACCATGTATTATTACTTATTTTTTTTTTTTTTACATGTGTGCTGCTGTGTCATTTGGATTCTGTTAAACTGAAAAGATATTTGTTTTATACTAAAAAAAAGTGTTAACTATAGAGTTCCATTCAGAGGTTCAGGAAAAACTGGGAATTAAATCTGCCATTTAAATACAGTTGGCCTAAATAAATATAATCTGTAAGAATAAGGATTTCCCCCCCCTTTCAAAGCCCTTCAATCTGTATTGTTGAGATTTCTGTCATCATAGAAGCATAGAATATTAGTGATTCTCTAGTCCAAATTCCTCATCTAAGAAAACTGAAGCCCAGAGAGGGTAAAGCACTTGTCCAAGGTCACACAGCTAGAAAGTAGCAGAGTCAGAAATACAGCTGAGCTCTCCTGACTCTTAGGCAAGAGATCTTTTACTATACCATGCTATAATTATAGCCCTCATAGATCTTCTGGAAAAAATGGAAAGTATAAAAACAGATTTTATAAAATACTGTTCTAAGGCTGGAGCTTAGGCAAAAAACTAAATATTCAACACATTTTCACACATTGAGTTTCTCTAGCACACACCTTGTTTAATTACAAGAATGCTTGCTCTTGACAGTTCCAATCTTCCCAATATCTTCCTCTTTCCAAGTCTTCCTTCTCGGCCTTGCATCCCTGCCTCCTATACCAAGAATGGGACTGATAAGTAGGACTCTGCAGCATGGATCAGGAATGCCTATAGCCTGAGACAAGCAAACAATCCACTTGCTAAGAGAATCTTACCACCCTAAGAGGCTGCAGGAAGCTGCCCCCATTCAGACTCCTTCACAGGAAAATTCTAGAGGCCATAGGACTTTCCGCTCTTGGAGGTTTCCTCTCTGGACATTTAGTCAGTGAATCTGGGCATCATAATACCATTATTCTTTCTGAGATAAGTGCTATCCCATACTTTGAAACTGGCACCCGCTCTTCATTTATGTTCTTCCCCCATAGACAGCATACACACTCATCATGTGATGGGAAGAATGGGTTTTCTCATCCAAGCAAGTGACTTAGACAATGCCAACCTGTTGGCATGGAGCCAAAGGGTAGTTGACTTAGTAAGTACTTTTTGGTTAGTAGAGTTGAGTGCATTGTGTGGTCGAAAAAGCAGGGATTTTTTAGACCTGGCAAACTTAGATGCAAATCCCAGCGCTGCCAGTTATCAGCTGTGTGATTTTGACAGGTTTTTGAGTCTCAGGGTACTTAACTGTTAAATGGAGTTAATAATTTCTTCCTCCTAGGGTTGTGAATGTTAAATGCTATTGTAAAGTCCTTCGTAGAATGCTTAGAATATAGTAGGTACCTTTTAAATGTTTATTCCCTACCTGGTAATATAAGTATTACAACAATTTTTGGATTAGGGAGAATGATTGTGAATGGTTCAATGGGGAGAGAAGGATTTGTCCCTAAACCCATTTTTTTTTATCCTCACCGGAGGACACTTTTCCATTTTTTGTTCAGATAGAGTGGGAGGAAGAGAGAGGAAGAGAGAGAGACAAACATCGACGTGAAAGGAACACATTGAGTGGTTGCCACCTGCATGACCCAACCAGGGCCAGAGACAAACTGCAACCAAGATATGTGCCCTTAGCAGGAACCGGACCTGGGTCTCTCTGGACCGCAGGCTGATGCTCTAACCACTGAGCCAAACAAGCCAGGGCTCTAAACCCATATTTATCCTGCCCTTACACAGGATCATTGTCTTATTCACTGACCTATGTCATGAAACTTTGACCTTTCTCATGAAAAATAAATGTACAATGATTCTGTTCATGTTTTTCAACCAAGGAGGCTGCTCCAATGGTCATAGAATCAGGAATCATCACAGAGGCTGAGTAATCACTATTGCAATGTCTATTGCACTCTGCTTATCGTGTTTTGTCTGCCTGGCCAGATATCACGTGGACAAGGGGCAATCCAGAACACATCACCTAGGATAACTTATTTACAATCCTGACTTACTTTAGAAGTGGACCTCACCTGTGACCTGATTAACATTCAGTTATAAACCACACATGTAGATAAAAAAAGTAGGCTTAGTAAAAATAGGACAAAATGTTTAAAAAGCCATTATGCATAACATATTAATCCACACAGCTTTTTTCCTTCCTTTTTTTTTTTAAATTTTTTTTTTTATCCTCACCTGAGGACATTTACCATTTTTTCTTGTTCAGAGTGGGAGGGAGAGAGAGGAAGAGAGAGAGAGAGAAACATCGACGTGAAAGGGACACATCGAGTGGCTGCCATCCGCACGCCCCAACCAGGGCCGGGGGCAAACTGCAACTGAGGTACGCGCCCTTAGCGGGAACCGACCCCGGGTCTCTCTGGACCGCAGGCCGATGCTCTAACCGCTGAGCCAAACCGGCCAGGGCTTTTCCTCCTCCTCCTCCTCCTCCTCCTTTAAAAAAAACATGTATTTTATAGTTATACCAGATAGAGGAAAATTATGCCGTTATAGTGCTTAGAATCTGGGCAGGACTGCAGATAGAACAATTTCCCAAACTTTCTTTCAGTATCCAGTCTCTGAAGCGATGGTTAAATATAAAAGGCTCTTAAAGGGTTGTACATCGTGGTTAAGTACTCTTCATTTACCTTCAGCAATATATAGCAATGAAACACAATTCAATTTTTTGTAATTCTTTTATTCAATTTCAGAATGTTTCAGATTCATTTAAAACTATAAATGAAAATATTCAAGAATCCCAGGGGACTCCAAGCAGCATAAACATAAAGAAAACCATACCAAGGCACTGCAGAATTGAATTTCTGAAAACCAGTGATAAAGGGGAAAATCTTAAAGATGAGACTAATCACTGGTTTCTCATTAAAAACAATGCAAACCAGAAGATGGTGGAACAACATTTTTAAAGCATGGAAAGAAAAATGCTGTCAACCTAGAATTTTATATCTGGCGAAAATTCCTTCAAAGATAAAGGCAAAATAAAGACATTTCAGATAAGCTAAAGGCAAGCGAATTCATCAGTAGTGAACTTGTACTACAAGAAATGCTGAAGGAAGTTTTGCAGACTGAAAGAAAATGATACCAGATGGACACAAAGGAATGAAGAGTACCAGAAATGGTAAGTATGTGTATTAGTATAAAAGACATTTTTCTTGTTTTTAATGTCTTTATAAGATAATTAACTGCTTCAGGTGAGAATAATATAATTATATTATGGTATTTATAACCTCTGTAGCCATAGAATATATGAGCACAACAATATGAAGAATGGAGAAGTGGGGTGGGAAGTACATTGTTATAAGATTCTTACATTATAGGCCCCGGCTGGGTAGCTCAGGTGGTTAGAGCATCATCCCCATACACCAAGGTTGTGGGTTTGGTCCCTGATCAGGGTGCATACAAGAATCAACCAATGAATGCATAATTAAGTGGGACAACAGATTGGTGTTTCCATCTGTCTGTCTCTCCCTCCCCCACTTCCTCTCTCTCTCTAAAATCAATTAAAAATATTCTTATATGTTAAATGACATAATTTTTAAAGGTAGACTGTGATAGTTAAAGATGTATACTAAAAAAAGGTATAGCTAATAAGTCAATAGAGGAGATAAAATGGATTCATGAAAAATAATCCAAGGAGAAGCCCGGCTGGCGTGGCTCACTGGTTGAGCATCAACCCATGCACCAGGAGGTCACCGGTTTGATTCCTGGTCAGGGCACATGCCCAGGTTTTGGGCCAAATCCCCAGTGGGGGGCAAGCAGGAGGTGGCCAATCGATGTTCTCTCTCATCGATGTTTCTATTTCTCTTGCCCTCTCCCTTCCTCTCTCTCTCTGGAATCAATAAAGAAAAAAAAAAAAAAAAAAGGAGGCCCTTGCCAGGTGGCTCAGTTGGTAACATCATCCCATATACCAAAATGTTGCAGGTTCAATTCCTGGTGAGAGCACATACCTAGGTTGCGGGTTTGATCCCTGGTCAGGGTGCATACGGGAGGCAACCCATCAATGTTTCTCTTTCACATCTCTCTTTCTTTCTCTCTCTCCCTCCCACCCTCTTTCTCTCTAAAAAATCAATAAAAAACATATCCTTTGGTGAGGATAAAAATATTATCCAGGGGAAGACAAGAAAAGAAGAACAAAGAACAGATAGGATAAACAGAAGTGTAGGACTACTGTTATTTCTGATATCTTAGCTCTATCATGAAAGTGATCAACAAGGGGAAAACCTAAAGCACCTTGTACTTATCTCTTAAAATTAGGATGAGCTAAAGAATAAGTAAACATGATATCCAGACTTCCACAAATGGGATTCAGTAGTTTTTGTTGATGAAAAAATCAGCATTGAAATCAGTTCTGTTTATGATGATAAAAGAATATTTTGGTTCAGAAATGCGTGTGACCTGGCATGACTTGGAAGGATTTGAAAGAAGTAACAGATTAGGAAAAGAAGTTTTATGAAAGGAGACCTGAGGTACTCAGTGCTGTCACAGTTGAGCTGGTTGCATGATTTGGGTAGTGGAATTAGAAATGAGTGAACTTGGGATAGCCTCTGAAAGTGAAACTTAAGATCAAGCAGAGATATCCAAACTGTATCCCACACCAGTTAATATTTGACTAGAAATTGAATGTATTAACATATCTAAAGAGAGAAGGTATATATTACTGTTACTGGACAGGGTCTGGGCCCAGGACAGGCCTACCTAGGGCCTGCTGGTAGTGTGTGGGTTCTTGACTTCATGCAGGAAAGATCTCACAGCATGAGTCCAGGTGATCCTGAGAATATGTTTATTAAAGTGAAACAAAGGAAGGGATTTAGGTAGAAGCAACAGGAGAAAGAAAGTCAGAGAAAGGGGGGCATTGGAGACAGGTTCAAAGGGTAAGCCCAGGTTGAGCTCCCACTGCCTGCTCTCCCCTGGTTGCAAGTATTATGGGGTCCCTTGGAGGTTAGGAGTTGTATGCCTGTGGGGGGAAGAAGTCTGGGAAGGGAAAGGTGCGGGCATGCTCGCAAGAGGGAGAGTGTGCTGTGGATCCTTTTTCTTGAGGCTTTTTAATCTTTCCGTGGCTGGCTGGCATTCTAGCGGTTGTCTCTGGGGAGGGTTTTTTGTTTTGTTTTTGTTTTTTAATCCTCACCCGAGGATATTTTTCCATTTATCATCAGATAGAGTGGGAGGGAGGGAGGGAGAGAGAGGGAAAAGGAGAGAGAGAAACATTGTTGTGAGATAGACACATCGCCTGGCTGCCTTCCACATGACCCTACCAGGGCTGTGGACAAACCACAACCGAGGTACATGCCCTTGACCGGAATCGAACCTGAGACTCATTGGTTCATGGGCTGACGCTCTAGCCGCTGAGCCAAACTGGCCAGGGCTCTGGGGAGGGTCTTAACAGAATATTCATTAGGTTTTCAGATGTGTTCTTCCTTCAATATGTTGATTCATCAAAATGTGTGTCTAGAGGGGCCAGGGTTATTTTCTGGTTAGTTTTATTTATTTTTTATAATATTTATTTATTTATTTTTTAATCCTCACCTGAGGACCTTTTTCCATTTTTTGTTCAGATAGAGTGGGAGGGAGGGAGGGAGGGAGGGAGGGAGAGAGAGAGAGAGAGAGAGAGAGAGAGAGAGAGAGAGAGAGAGAGAGAAACATCGACATGAAAGGGACATATTGAGGGACTGCCACCCGCACAACCCCCTGGGGACAAACTGCAACCGAGGTACATGCCCTTAGTGGGAACCAAACCCAGGTCTCTCTGGACCGCAGGCTGATGCTCTAACCGCTGAGCCAAACCGGCCAGGGCTGGTTAGTTTTATTTTATTTTATTTTATGTTATTTTTTGATTTTTATTTATTTATTTTTAATTTTATTTTTGTTACAGATGTTTGTCCTTTTGTTAGTTTTATTTTTAAAGAACATTACTGAAGAGGGGCTGGGGCCAAGGCCGGTCTGCCTAGGAGTCTGGAATGTGTAAACCATTTGCTCCGAAGTGTCCTTGGTTAGGGAAGATAAAACTTCGTGATTTGTTAGCTGACTGTAAATTGCTCAAATTGTTTAATTATTTTGTTTCAGTTTCCCTTATTCCACTTCTCAAGGAATTTCCCTAGCTTCTTACTATCCTGCTTTATTATAAGGAACTTGATCATTGTATCAGTTAGGAATGCTTTTGACTACAGCTAAAAGAATACCCTAACTTAAGTCGTAGAAACTTTAAAAAGCTCTATTAGAAGCTGAGAGGCAGCCAGTTCGAGGGCTAGTTCGGCAATCTACCATGTTATCAAGGATCTGGGCTTTTAAAACCCTTCCACTCTGCCAGTCATCCTCAACTCATCTCATGAACACTGCAAGGCTGCAATAGCTCCAAGCATTATGTCCTCAAATCAGCATCCCAAGCAGGGAGGAAAGGTCAGTAGCAAAAATTATTCTCCTGGTGAGGCTCTGTCTTTATATCTGGGAAGCAACATCTTTTCCTGAATATCCCAGAAGTCTTCCCTTTATGTCTTGAGATAGATAGAAGAGGCAACTAAAGGGGGTCTGCTAGGATCAGTCCTGATAGTGTAGAAAAAGAAGAATCTCAGGGGCCAAAATTAGCAGTGCTCAATCTGGCACTGTATTGGAGCGAGATACCCTGATCCAAGAACTTCAGTAGTTGACTCTTGAGATGGCTGTTTGCATATTGTGGAAATAGATACACCAGTCTCTCTTTATTTAACATTTATTTAAAAAATATATTTATTTAGCCCTGGCCTATTTGGCTCAGCGGTTAGAGTGTCGGCCCACGGACCAGTGAGTTGTGGGGTTTGATTCTGGTCAAGGACACGTACCTCGGTTGTGATTCGTCCCCCTCTCTGGTTGGGGTCGTGCGGGAGGCAGCCACTCAATGTGTCCCTTTCATGTCAATGTTTCTCTCTCTCTCTCCCTCCCACTCTATCTGAGCAAAAATGGAAAAATGTCCTCGGGTGAGGATAAAAAAAAATTATATATTTTTCTTTATTGATTTTTAGAGAAGGGGGAAGGGAGAGGGAGAGATAGACAGAAACATCGATGAGAGAGAACATGAATTGGCTGCCTTCTGCATGCCCCCACTGGGGATCAGGCCCACAACCTGGGCATGTATCCTGACTGGGAATTGAACTGGCGACCTCTTGGTGTATGGGTCGACGCTGAATCACTAAGCCACACTGGCCGGTCTCCTTATTTAACATTTATTTAGACTTCTCATTTGCTTGACAGATTTCTTTGTTTCAGGTGTTGTTGTAGTCTCCATAGTAATTATAGCAAGAGAAAACCAGGCAAAAATCTTTGCCTTTGTGGTACTTAAATTCTAGTAAATGTGTCTTAGCTGAATGCAAGTGATTCCTACTTATCAGTAAATGTTCTGATTATAATTGGGTGTCTCATGGCCCAGAAGCAATCCCACATCTCATTATGAGTTAAGAAATTGATATTCTTATTTCATTTATCAGTCTTTTGGTTGATGTGAGTTCTGCTAGGGACACAGATTCAACTTTAGTGAAGTGACAAATCAAGTTTCTGACTTTTGTATCTAGGGTCAATACCTGAACCAGGGTGAATTCAACAAGGTATTTCAACTCAGTGAGCCAGTGTGGGAGGCAGGAGCCACACAGCTTTCTCTAGTTAATACCCCAAGAGTGCATGTTCCCCCTATTTGGAATATTTAAACTTATTCATATGTGTGAAAGGGATACAAGAAGGAAATATTAAATTATAAGCATTTATTTATTTATTTTTAAGTGCTTCTTTTATTTATTAAATTTTTTTTCTTTATTGATATCAGAAAGAGAGAGGAAGAGAGAGAGAGAGAGAGAGAGAGAGAGAGAGAGAGAGAGAAAGAGTGAGAGAGAGAAACATCGATGAGAGAGAACATTGATTGGCTGCCTCCTGTATGCCCCCCACTGGGGGTCGGGCCCACAACCTGGGCATGTGCCCTGACTGGGAATTGAACCAGCGACCTCTCGGTGTATGGGTCGACTCTCAACCACTGAGTCACACAGGCCGGGCCTCACTGGTTCCATGGTGGACAGGACCAAGGGGTGGATAAGAATAATATGTATGTAAGGATTGAGCCAGTAAATGAGACAGACTCAGATCCACCTAAAAGGATCCAAT